GCTAGTATTTACTTTGGATTTGGATTCGGGGGACAGCAATTTGATTTGGTGATTCGAATCACTGTCCTGATTGGATTCGGCCAAATCTCCAAATCAGCCAGGCCAGGCCCATTCCCTGTCCCACTCCCAGCCCAGCAGTGGCTGCCCCCCCCGCCAGCACTTGGGGAAAAAAAAGCCCCAGTTCAGCAGGTGCTGTTGGGTGGGGGGTGATCCTCGCTGCATGGGGGGCTATGCATGAGCCCCTGAAACGCCCTCTCCCGTTCCCCCAGCCCCCTCACAGGTGCCCTGCATGGACGAGCTCCAGCCCTTTAAGAAAAAAAAATCCTGAAGAAACCCCGGGACTCACCACTCCTGCTGGTGGGGGCAATCCCCACACTGCCCCACACCACGTGCACCAGGAGCGTAGAGTCCAGGGGCTTTTCTCGGCTTTTTTTTTTCTTAAAGAGCTGGAGCCCCAGCAGTCGGGGCAGCCGTGAGGGAGAAGGGGGAGGATCAAGGGGCTCATTCACAGCCCCCCATGCCGTGTGGGGCAGTTGGGGGCAGCAGGGTTCCCCCCCACCCAGCAGCACCTGGTGAGCACTGGGGCTCTCTTTAAAAGTACCAGGAGCTGGGGCAGGCAGGGGCAGCCATGGGGGGGCAGGGGGAGCGAGCGGGGGTTGAGAGGGCTGGCTGGGGTCCCCCCATGGTCCCCTCCCTCTGCTCCTAGTACTTACCAGGTCAGAGTGGCTGCAGCTCCTTGCTGCAGCCACCCGGGACTGCCCGAATCATCAAAGCTCTCCGAGTCTTTGTCTAAGATTCAGAGAGCTTTGAATCAATTCAGACCTTTAAATTGATCCCAATTTGATTCGGAGATTCGGCCACCGAATCAGGCCGAATCTCCTCCGAATCGAATCACCGCCTGAAGCTTCGCACAGCCCTAGTTACCAAATACATGGCTGTCACATATCCCAAAAAATGAACCAGTTTGGAGTATTTTAGTTAAAAGATAGGATTATTACTGTGTTGAAAGTTTTACTGAACCAACACCTGAATATTTTCTCCAAGCTTTCCCCATAAGACTTGGCTTTTATGTACCAGCATATAATACTGCAGTCATTCTCCCTCCTTTACACCCCCACATCAATGATTCAGACAGCTAAGAGGTGGGAAAGGCTCAGAGTTAATCGGTCTTTTACGAAGTCTTTTATCAGTAATATATATTGCTGTTTTCTTCTCCTACCCTATTACAGCAAGGGGCTAGTGTTTTCAGATCTTGAGTTTAATGTCCCATTTTTAATAGTACTAGGCATGCAGCTTCAGTACAAGTCAAGGCAGTTACACCCATCTGCCAAAATAAAGGTGTGTCTGACAATCAGAGTTTCGCAAGTGCAGCTGTCTAACAAGCAACTCCAAGTCACTCTATCTTTCTCTCCACCCTCAAAAGGCCTTTAATCACAGCATCTTAGCAACAAGAAAAAGTTGCAACAGAGCTGAGAGACTAGAGGAAAATTCCACTTAATGTCAATCCATCATAGCTGTGAGAGTTTCTAAATTAACTGATCTTTCCCCATCAACCTCTCTCTCAACTTCTGTCCAGCTCTCTGTACTATGGCATTGCAAATCCTGTAGGATGCCATTTTGTCAGTTTCCAAATATAGTGAAGACCTACTGTAACCCAACCCAGTTAATCCTAGAACAGGTTTACCTAGTTAAACAACAAATTCCTGTATAGCTGATGCAGATAATCCTGAGATTGCCCCCCTCTACAACAGAGGTTACTTGCATATCATAAATGAAGATTCCTACAGTGAAGAAGCTACTCTGAAAATGGCACAAATGTAAAACTACATACAAGCACAAAATGGCTGCAATTCTTTTCTGAATTCTAGTTATAAAGTTTTAGTATTTTAATTATTAATAGATACTTAAATTGGAATTACAACCATGTATGCATCTGTGTATAGTCCATGATTTTAGCATGAAGCTGACATAATTAATTTCATGTGTTATTTTCCAATGTTGCCCTAGTTTCAACTGTTGTAACATGCAACTAATAGTCTTTCCCTTGATAGCAGTATTTTATTTTGTATCAGAATTTGAAAATCAGTAGCAGAGAGTGCACCTAAAACTAAGAAAAAATTAGGACAGCATAATGTTTCAGTGGTAGCATTGTGCTGCCCCTGGAGACATGCTACTTTCCCTATGCCAGATCTGATAGAATGACTCCAGGACCTTGATCATACATGTGGAAATGTATTTGAACAGCTATTGTGAGATAAAAAATTGCACTTTAAATTGCACCTTCCCTCTTTCCAAAATGATCTGTATGTGTCAAGAAGTCCATCTATGAGCTCTGTGCAAATGAATGAGGTAAGTCATGTCTGCAAACATATGTACAGTGAGGGTTTAGGTCCACCTGTTTTTCCCTAGCTAGTGGTACGCCATGTTTGCCAAGGCAACTGGTTTAGTACATGCAGAAGGGAAGAATTGGCTACATCTCTGAAGTACAATTATCTATTGCATCATATTACAGTATTACCACTGCAAGCTAACACAGAGCACGTCACATTTTACATAGTGTTTTGAACTATAATTTGCTTGAAGAAACGCAGATTAAATGTACATGAAAGTGTACCAGTCTTTCTTAAGATCTTGGTAGTCTTGCTCTCACAGACTTAGTTATAAGACTGCCAGCTAACCCAAGGTAACCAGCATACTTGTAAATGTGGGTGCTCTGCAAATGTTATTCCAGAATACAAATGTTTATGCTTCACCATACGGAAAATTAACTTAAGGTTAAATGATCTAGTGCAGACGTATCCATGAAATTTTTCACACAATTAATTCCACAGGTTAACTGAATAATAATAAACATGTTTTATAGCACTGAGATTTTCCAAGTGGCCTGAAGGAATTAGGTGTTCAATTCTCAACCTCGGGCTCCTTCATAAAATCTGATGTCCTTTAACTACAGCAAGTGCTCTTTTGCTCTCAGACTACAAGACAGGATGGAAAGATGGATCATTTTCCACACTACCCTTCCTAAAGGAAGCTGTGAACTTGACTGAAAATGATTCCATTTTTTACTCTAGCTCGTCATAAACTGATTGCATCAGATCTTGCATGCAGGCAAGTGCTTTATTTTCACAGATACTCCTTTAAAAAGGATACAGAAGACAACAGCAGTCTCCTTGAGAGTACAGGGCCTGAAAGAACAGGAAGCTTCAGAGTATCAAGCCAGTGTCAAGCCCATCACCCTCCCAAGCGTCATAGTTTGACTGTAAATTGATTGGAAAGAGACAAGAACAAAATAAAAGCTTTTTACTCCTTACCAAGACAATGGGGACCTTGTACTGTAGTGTGGCTGCAGCAGGGCCTTCTACTGTGGAGGCAGCTGAGCTAGAGAAACCCATCCCCCCCGCCACCTTCAAGCAATGACATCTTTGGTGTTAACAACTCTGTTGCTGTGGCAACCAGCCTGCTTTTGACAAAGCCACTTTGACTGAAAGCAACATGTGGGAAACTAGAATCTTTATAAAGCACTGTGTAAGAAATGAATTCTTAACAAGAAAAAATATGAATTTTTAGTTTTTGGTAGAGATAAAATATTTCTAGTCCACAGATATGCAAATCAGGAGAACATTTTGGTAACTGACAATATATTATGCATTGCCCACATAAGCAAAGTATGAGGCAGAGTGAATATTAAAGAGTTCTTACGCTCAGGATACATGTGTGCTACACAGGTGTACAGGACTCAGTGTGAAACTAATGCCTCTGAGTCGCTTTACCTACTCACCTTTTTGTATGAATGGCTCAAGTTTGTGGTGCATCATTGCTAATTCACACTAAGACAAGTTACTTGCAATAGCCAAAATTTAAGGGAAGGTAAGAGAAGAGCACATCTACTCTCTGCCTCACTGAAAGATATCATCCCAAGTTTGTATATTTTATCAGCACTCTCCAAGAGACGTCTCCATCTCCAAACATCATCCTTAGAATGAGGCATAATAATTCTGTCCCCAACACTAGCTGACTCAAATCCCAAGTGCAGTCTGAGGGCCTGTTACATAAATACTAACATATTCAAAACAGGAATCAGGAAAAAAAATGTTTCTGGGAAAAGTCTCAAGTGTTGTCTGTTCTCCATGAGCCTAGAGAACAGAGCAACTTTGATAAGCTTTGGTTCCCGGACCAGCTTCACCAGAGTGGATTAAATGACATTTAGAGGTGATGCATTCAGTTTATGTTGCAGAGTCTGGCACAATTAAACATTTTAGGAATGTACTGATTTTATGTATTTTTTATTTGCTACTTCTCTCAAAACAGTTTTCATAAGTCTTGGTGTGTAATACCATATTGTAAAGATTCATGAATAGGAAGCTCTAGCCTGATTTGCATGTAAAGCTAAGATGCTCTCCCACTTTGGTTTCAAGTATTAAAATGCAAGAGTTATAGCTTAATCTCATTTAGAGAGCTCTGAATAATTTTAAATACTTAGGAAGTCTGTGTAAAGTACCACAAACCAGACAATGTATACGTTCTTGTCTAGAAAGCCTTGCACCACCAGCTTCCATTGGCTAGCAAATAAAGAAGGTCTCCCAGTTCTCCAATTAAGCAAATAGGTCATGCACTCTCCAGTTCCATTACCAGCCACATCTCTGACACTTGCTTTTCAACAACACCGCCATGGACATTCCTGCAGTATTAAAACCTTTACACTGACAGCTCAACACAATTTTACTGTGACAAAAGGACTACGGACAGCTGAAGAACAATCATTTGTCTTCCAAATGTTTCACATGGCCCTAATGTTTGGCTTTTTTTAATTAGAGATTTCTTTAAGCTGTAAAAATCAGCAAAAATGGGAACACAGTTATCATCCCATAGCACAAAACAATATATACATCACATTAGAAATGACAGTTTTCCAATGGTGAGTGGTCCTACAAAACACAACAATGGTGGTCTTGCCCCACTTTTCTGCAGAGGTGTAGTTTTTAGTGCACTGCCAGGAAGACTCATTTTTCTTTCATACTGTTATCAATTATACTACACACCATGCCTCTGAGTGCACTTTGAAGAAAAGATGGGCCTAAACTTAGACATTCAGGTGTGAATCCTATTTTCTTCAGTTTGCTGAAGGCTAGATCCCAGTTTGGGTGCCTCTATACATGGTATTAGCTTAAGTAACTAAAAGTAAAGTGCATTTGTGTAATAAATGAACATTTTTAAATTCTTGCTTGTAGTTTATTTGCACTGAAACTGATTTGCAAAATCCAGTTATCTGTAATGAGACTCCCAGCCAGCATGAATTAGTGAAGTCATGCTGGATATGATGGACATACACGCTTATACACATTGACACTGTAACACTTTCTCAGAATTTCCAAACTGCATGAAGCCCCAGGAACACACCTTGATCTTCCTGAGCTGTATAAGTACATGAGTCTGGGTACAACTTGTTTCAGCTTGTTGACATGCTAGGGAAGTATATAAAAGGCACAGAAGGAGTAGCATCACAGCTAACTTGTTTTCCAAAGTATCTTCTTGTTTTACAACATCCCTTTCCTGCCTATGGTTCCACTTCATAGTACAGATAAGTTGCATCCACCTGTAACAGCTCTAATATACAACTCTTCTATACTTACAAAATCAAGGAAGCCCATCAATTAGTTTTCAGTATTTAAAATAAGCAGCAGAGACCACTAGACTAACAAACTGATTCTAAGATGCAGAGTGCCAGTTGCTTGACAAAGTCCACTTTAATTTAACCAAACCAAAACAATTGGTCTGGGAATCCCCTGAGAATGCAGCAGTTCCAGCCCAACTGCAGACAGCAAGGTGCTGAAGAATTCAGTCTCACAGTGACTCATTGATTTAAAAGAGATTCTTGTAGTGACCCACTTTCCATCTACTGGATGTTTATTTTAAGTATTTCATACTTGTTTAGTAATCCTCATGGGGCATGGCATTTAAGAATAAAGTCAAATACTGTCCACCTTGTAGGTGCTTCTCTATATACTGATGACAAACTGGAACATCCCTGAAGCATACTTGTTTCATTCAGTCTGTCTTATCCCATCACTGTGTTATTTTTTTAGTGCTGGAGTTTGTTACATGTCATCATTTGTGATGCTGATTTTGGGTGTCCTGTGGCAATGAGACAAACTGGCAAGAAAAGAATACAAGCCTGAAAAAACAGGTAGATGAGATTAGACAGGACATTTCATTTTAAAGTCCTGATTCCACTTGCAATACACAGTCCTTCAGAAGAAAAGGTGTAAACTGAGGCATCCTGTACACATTTCAATTCTGGTCATTATATTTTGCCACCTTGATCATTCCACTTGCAGTTAACTCAGTAGTGTTGTGCAAACTCAGTACTGTTGTGCAGTTGGAACATTTCACTGGAAGTGGCTATACTTCATTGGTAATAGTAGTACTACTAGTTTTACCATATCAAAAAACATGTTTCTGTTCCATAACAAATGATCACATTAAAATAATTTTCACATTCTACAAGAAGGAAAGTTATTGACCTTTGATAGAGAAATACCAGCTTAAACATCCCAAGAAAACGGCAGAGAACCAGTAGCAGGAGACTAAGTTTGCATAACGCCTGAACAAATGCCGGGCTCTGTACTTCGTAACACTGATTCAGTGTTTTGTTCTCAGGGGTGTAAGCTACATGTTCTGCGCAATCTGTAAATGCTGTCCTTATACATACTTCATTTGTACTTTGTATTCTTTTTATGAACCTTATCAACCTTTAGAAAATAAACAAAAGATATTTTTTTAAAGCACGTGATCTGCAATATAGATAATTAGTTTAATTTTACATTGCAAAACTGTTCTGATATGAATTAAGGGCCTGCTATTGGAGGACAGGCTATATTGCCATTTTCTTATTGGATAATGTAATCTCACTTTGACAAGAACAGAAAAAATAAGCAAGAAAAATAAGCAGCTCAGGAAGAACTGTATTTAACTTTATAGCCCCATGCTTTGGAGCATAGCAGTTCCAGGTAGGCAAGCTGGAGTATATTAAACGTCTATTAGCCTGTATTGTCAAATCCTGTTGATCATTTCAGAGGCAGAAGTTTTGGAAAAGAAACTTGCTAAAGCTGTGTTGTACCCTTTCTCTCCCTCCAAGCCCTGTGGAATTTTCAACTCATTTCTGCCTTGTCTCTTCATATATTTAGAAATCAAGTTTTAAACCTAAGACACAAGAACCCTATAAAGTGTGCTCATTTTTGTGTTTTTCTGTTGCTTTTTTACTCTCATTTCACATATCTGTCTTGATATCAGTAACCGAAGTGCGTTGTATTGCTAACACTAAGGAGTATTGGCCCTGGTCCGTCAGCTAGAAGGCGACAGCATAACAATTCGTCTTTGCCCATTCCAGGCTAAAGATGACCTGTGAGAGAGCAAATCAATTCATATAACTGATTTATGTTGCCTTGACTTAGAACAGGGTTGGCTGACCAGAAAGATAAATGCAGCATGGCTTCTGTATGTGTATGCATGTGCTCAGAGAACAGCTTATATACAGCCACACAAATATTTAAACATTTTTCCCTAGTGTATCAGTACACTCACAAACCAGTGTCTTTTACCTTTTGGGAAATGCCAAGGCTGCCACCAGGCTCAAACTAATCCTGTCTCTCCAATTCCTGCATCTCTTGGGACGCATGTTTTCACCCTCCTCACAGCATTAAGTTACAGGATATCATTTCCAGTCTGTAATGCAAACTTCACATTCACTTCCTGGAACATCCACAGCAAACCAGGAACTTAACACTGCAGGCACAGAGAACCTCCTTCCTCCCATTTTTTTTCTTTTGATGCACAGACTCCAGTCTGTGACCCAAACCCCCCATTCGGGGGGGGGGGGTGTTAGAGCATGGGGTGATTTTTATATTGACCACTCTCAGTGAAGTGCAGGGTTGAGGGAGCGTCCTACAATGGTTATCTACTTCAACCTCCTGCTTTGCAGCAGGAGAAAGCATACCTTAGATCTGTATGCACCATGGCTTGTCACAAGATCCTTCTGACTCCTACCATGAGGATCCCACTGGCCCAAAAGTACTGCATAGCAGAAACACAAGGTATGTTCAAGCTGACTGCAGTGCTAAGAATGGGAATGGAGGGCCAGATCCTACTCCATCAATTAGATGCCTAAGTGTAACCTTATTCCACCCTGAGTCTGAAAATTCATCAATGCACCCATTTTTGTAATGTGCTGTGACCTTACCCTTAAAACTAAGTATAAAAAAATCAGAGGAAGAGGGTAACCCAAGCACCTTCTGTAGTAACAATTTTTAGGGGGCTAAGCAGAGTGAAAAAGGCACTTAATAGGCAGAGAAGGATATGGTTCAAAGTACAAACACTTTTTCCCAAAACCAGCTTCAACAAGGAAGCTATAAATGGGGGACAAGCCAAGGAGAAAAACACAAAAATGCAAGAATGCTTATGACATTACTTTACAGTTGTGTTTGGGTCAGTTATCAAAAGGAATTTGGGTTGATTCTACCTGGAAGAGTGGGGAAGGGGAGATGGAGGGGAAAGACCAGTGTCCAGCAGATAAGCTGTTTATCCCTCCACCTTCTAATCCAACCATTCTTACTGTTTGAAAACACTGCTGTACAGCCAAAATGTCATTGTACTTATAAGCAAGTGGCCAGAGAAGAGTTTTTCTGGACTATGGCAGCAGTGTGTGTGGCATTTCAATCTAATGGAAACAAAGCTGACAGCATGTTTTAAAAGCGTGTAACAAATCACAATGCCAAGCGAAGTAAATCAAGCCACATAATACTTCCAAAAGCACTGTCAGAGCCCTGCAGTATCTTAGAGAGGCTGCCTTGTGTTTTCCCAATCTAAAATGATTAGTGAAATTATAACTAGTTCCAATTACAGGCATGGACTAAAGGAGACAGCAGGGACCTCCCAATTACTATATGCAGTGCTTGACTAACACATGACTCTGCAGATGATTGTTTCTGCCTGTTCAATCCCTTTCCTCTTGAGTACCTCAGTTAAAATCCCTTCCACTGAATAATTTCTGGCCAGATCTAGGCTGTGCTGGCTTTGTTCCCCCATGAAAGAAAACCTGCCATCAGAAAGCAAAACCATCTGCCAAGTTAGACACAGCTTTGATGGGCAAGTTTGGTGGCAGACGGAACTCACTGTTGATTAAGCTCCACCTTCGGCACTAAGAGGACTTTTTGTTTTTGTTCAGAAGGACTTGGTTCCAGGAACAAGACAGCTTAATGCTGGAAGCCTGTGGGTTAGTGTACACAGATATTTAGGTATAAAGTGTGCACAAGTAAACCCCTGAAAAATTCCCATCTTCTCCCTCCCTTGCCAGTTTTTGGCTCTTTACACAACAAGCAGTTCATTTACAAATAATTTAATATTTACATTTCTCTTTACCTTAGACGATTACCTGTCAAAAACATGTTTACTTTTTTAATAGTACATCTGTACCGCCAGTTTATTTCTACCAGTGTGTGACAGTTACATCAACAAGTCATGACAACAGGGGTTTTAAAACTGCAGATGGAGGAGAAAGCATGCAACAGCAAAGTGAGAGTGCTTCCTACTAAAAAGAACAAACCACCTGCTGCCTAAAAGCTGAGCTTCTAACCAAAACGAGTTTCCAAATGTCCTCCAGCTTTTCCACAGCTGGTTGGTTCAGATCAGTTTTTCTCAATTCCAAACTCAAGCAAATGAAGGATCTACATATACAGGATTCTCATCTAATAATGGCAGCAACCTCCGTTAACTCATTTCTGCATTTATAAGTCTCTTATAAAGATGTAGGTAAAGATCTTTCCACTCAGATTAACTAGATTAGTACCTCTGTTGCAGTGTTTTCTTCTTCGACTGCCTTTTGCAAGTGTGGCTGCTTCTCTCAGAGCCATTAGCAGATTCAACTGCATATTTTTTTTATTCAGCACAGAGAGCCATAACAATAAAAATGATATGCATCCAATAAAGCATCATCTGCTATTTACACTCTTCAGGAATTTAGATATCTTAACACTTTTCTGGCCATTCCAACAGACATTTCATCGGGACATCACAACAGGACTTCAGCAACATCTCACATACATAGGATGGGACTAAAGGATCTGATGCCCCATGTGTCTTGTTAATGTACGGATTAAGAGATTTTTTTCAACATCATTTTTGAGGTTATGGAACATCCAGGCCTGATGTTTCAGTTTCTTCCTCCATCATTAGTTCATTAGGCAAAGGCCAGTCTGTGGAAGCACAGAACCTTTAACTTGTTGAATTTCTTCTCTGAAAACACAGCATTTTAAAGGAGTATCTATATACCCAAGGACAGGGTATTATATAATCGCACAGCCACAAGAATTGGCATTGGAATTTATCTGTTGATGAAGAACTATACTTTACAATAGAAGACATTTTAAATACAAGTCTCTCTCATGACTGCATAGAAAACCTTGAGAATATTAACCAAGTGTAAAGCAATTCAGTTAGGCCTGCTGGAGAATGCAGACGCATTGAAACAGCTCTAAAGTTAAAGTTAAACGTTCATTTTAATGGACGAAATCTAAAAAATTAGATTGACATGTTATTACCATGAACTGACTCACTGCTGACTGGATATTTCTCTCTCAGCCCCAAACTGCTTCCCACACCTATCTGCACGTCAGAAGTCCCAATACTCCCGCATCAACTTGCCAATATCTCTAGCCCCATCCTTTCAAACTTCCGGAAGCCAGCTATGCATTATCGGTATAGAAAGTGGTGTGATAAAAACAACTGAAGATGTGGGACTGTGCAAATTTGTTTCCATGTTATTTTACAGTCACATTTCAGCACTGATTGTATTATGTCTTTTCACATTTAATCCATTAAGCCTCCTTTTCAATACATCAAGCTGCTGAATACTTCAAGTCTGCCATATCAGAGGACTGAAGAATGCATGAAACCTGCTGTAGAATTCAGGTCCAGCTGGCTACAGATGAGGTCTTGTCTACACTTTGACAGGTCATGCAGTCAACTACTAACAGATTTTTTTTTACTTTGCCAACACATGCAGGATAAAGGGCCGGGGAAGGAAAAGAGTGGTTGACGTGTTCTAGACATTCTAGCTATACTTCAGGTAGGAGTATAGGAGTAGTACTGAGCCTTAAAACAATTCACATGACTAGTGTTTCAATCTGCTTAGAGACTCAGCAAGACAGATCTGTACTGGCTCACATTTGAAAGATTAACTTTGCCACTGTTAGACCTAAAACCTTAATTTGAAAAGCTTAAATAATGCAGAAATTGGCTGATCAGCCAATGGTTGCAAGCAAGTTTTTCCTTGTTCATTTAAAGGCTTCTTGTCACCAAAATGTGCTCACCTTGGGCAAGGGGGTAAATGCATTTGTTGTGATCTGATGCATGGAACCTGTTTTAATAGGTTCTACCCTTGTGGAAGTACAGGAGGATTCACTCCTATACCCTGAAATTCCTGCTAACTGCCAGAAAAAACTACCTAAACCAACACTTGAAAGAAAAAAGGGGGAAAAAACCCAAAAAACCTCTCTTAAGCATTTGTTAAGACCTACCTCTTGTCATCTTTTCAGCTCCCCAAACCCAGGATCCAGACTGCCTTTAGGTGCTCTTTTTTTAGTATTTTTTTTTTAAAGGAACATTTGAGACATCTCTCAATACATTAAAAACTTCCTGATGAGATGTATTATACTGCATACAATTCTGAAACAGTTTCATGTTTGCCCACTGTAGAGTATCCATATTTGAAATGCTGGCTAACTTACAGAGGAAGGTTTTTTT